GCATTAGTCATTGAGTATCATCGTTCGTTCGATTAGCAATGTTAACTTTGAATCCTTTCATAAACGTCCACAAGTTTGGAGGATTTGCATGGCGTTTGATAATTTCAATCTTAGATAAGCTCGCAGTCATGGACAGTGACCTGGTAGTATATACGTGTGCTATAAGTTCAACCCCACTGCTCATATCTGTATTAGTATGTCAGTGATCAGCTATGACTTCGAGTGTCATGTCTTTGGATCGAGATGCAGACAGCTCAGTAGTCCGACTCACGTTTTTGTGTCTGTCTCATTTCCAACAGCCATTTACAAAGCTGAAGATGCCTAATCTCTAATTTTAATTTTAATGAAAAAATTTTGAAATCATGTAAAAGAATTGTATCTACTCTACCTCTTTTATCTTATATTATGCATTTCTATTCTACACTAACTTTTCTCATTGGCTTATGTTTCTCAAGCTCACTTAGGAGTATTTCAAAAGCCGTGCATAAATTGTGGTCACGTCGTAACGTTTCATTCACCTGATATTTTTGCAACTGATCTGAGAAGATATTAAATGATCAACGAAAAATTCGCATATGACAGGTTTGTCTGGTTAAGGCGGACGAAATACGGTTCTTTGATCTCCTTGAGCAAAACTGTGAGTATGTTTAAACGTGTTTCTCGACCTGAAAATATAAAATGTTTGTTCAGGACTGGTCGGCGACAACGTCTAGAGTCTGGGTACAGTGGGTGAATTAGTTCAAAGCATTTGTCCCATGGCTACACTGGTGTTTATACCAAATTCATGAAATCACCATTATTGTCACTTGGCAAAACCTTTCACACATGTATAAATAACAACTCAGATATTTTTTCTGGTATAACTGAATATTTTTTCAGTCTATCTTTCTTTGCAAAATAAACTGACGGTCAGTGTTTTGTTTATGGAATGTTGAGAGCACATCTGAAATCTTAGGGTGCAAAACCAAGACATGAATAATGTTGTCCTGATTGTAACACGTTCTAGACAGATGTCACTTTATGTACTAAAGGATCGTGCAGTGTTCATTGAGTAATGAGTATTGGAAAAGATAAGAACAGAAGAAAAGTGGAGTCAATAACCAAGCAAACGCACACAGTTCACTTACGTTTATTAGGGAAGACAATCGACAGAACTAGGAGCAGATGGTTTAACTTGATACACCTAAGTTTTTATAACAGTGGTGTTAAATAAACGCTTCTTTGTCTCGTGTACATATAACATATTGAAACACGGCCAAAATTTCGATGATGGAATATGTAGTTGTTTGTTCTATCATATGAAGAAACAATATCATTCGTTGTAATTATCAACTAAAGGCTTCACACAATTTAGTAAGAAATAAATCCCTGTCCACACAACTATGCCATGCTGCTTTTGAAGTTTTTCTCTAGTATTTCCAACGGATTTGGGGAAGCAACCTATGTATCCATTGTTCTGGGGTTTTTCGCCAAAACACCTACAAAATTTCCCAATACGAGGAGATTAGAGACAAATATGTATTCAACTTTAACGGTCATATACGTTGAAAGCCATTATGTTAATTAGTTAGATTTGACTGTCATTATTGTGGTTATTACCAATATTACTCGTTGATGTTGAAAAATTATAACCACTTTGTCTTCACTGTGAATCCATAAAATTCAAAGGGTCCTCTAATTTGAAGAATTATAACTTCTGATACACATGGATTAATACTTTGAAGTGGTTCCCGAAAACATTTTTAAAGTATATTTCTGGTTTTTTCTTATTAGCATGTTCTTTTTTGACGATATCATTTGTCTGCAAACACTGGACACGGAAGCGTTTTGTATGAAATATTCTTCCTTTTTGTTCATAGGTTTGGGAATCCATAGCTCGTCCTGACTGAACGTACCTCTATACCCTTTTTCTCATGTCTGAGTGATTAAGAAGCAGAGAATTTCGTGTATTATCACAAGTTTAGTATACGAATTTACTGCCTCTGCACGCTCTCAAACTGTCGTTCCCAATGTACTGTGAAACCGAACTATTATGGTTCGTCCTGTGCGTTAACCGAACCAACATTTCTATGATAGTCGATCTTTGGGGGAAGCGGACTTGACGACTTAATTTAGGCGTATAAGAGTTAGCTAAAAACCTCTTGGTTTGGTCGAAACTTGTACTGGGACGTTTTTAGCGTGTCATAAGCAGCCGCAATAAGTTTAGTGCGTGGTTCATAAAGCCAACTTCGCAACTACAACATTGAGTACCTCGACTGTAGGCAAACTGGCACACAGGTCGCTTTAATGTCTTTAGTGAACATGATAGATGAACTACTAGTTGGGATTAGGAATGATAAGCGAAACAGAATAAAAATAATAAGTAACCATAAAAATCAAAATGGATAAAATCAAGTCCCTTTACACAAGTCCATCAGTATTCAAACGTTGCTGAATGCAACATATATTCAAGAGTCGTCAACGGAAAACTTAACATGGAGAATCTCGCCTGTCGGAAATAGGAAAGTCAAGGACACGTTGAATGGAGAACTGACTAGTTACTGGTAGCAAAATATGGCGAACGTTTGTCATGGGTTAGTTTGGGGTAATCTTAAAAAAGCAATGTTTGAAAGGAAACAAAATCGAAAAGTCAATAAGACTCTGTTATCTCTGTTCAAATGGTTGGTGATAAGAAACTCTTCGTAACAAGCTTTGAAAACGGCGATGAATGAAATGCTTCAAACGGTAAGTCCATGAAAGTACTCAGTGATTGTGGGTTGTAATGGACAACAAAACTGATGGAAGTCAAGTAAGTTAGTAGATGCATAAGGTTAAACAACTGTTTAGAATACTCGAAAAGTGACTGCCTGCAGGAATGTTATCAAAAAAGCCGAGATTGTAATCTTCTGAACTAAGTTATTGGGGCGATGGTTGGTGTACTTTACAGTTACCTAATATCTATCAAAATCTGAGTGGAAGAACAACATGAGGCACAAAACTGAAAACGGTGACAAGATTAATAGCAAGGCAAGCAGGGTATATTTACGAGTTAACTAAAGAGGTCTTTTGGAAATATCGTTCAGTTTTGACACCTACGTCAACGACACGTTTTTACGGTTTCTTCACTCTAGCAGTTTTTAAAAATTCAGGGTACTTAATGACGTCAAAATATATTCATGTTTTTAATTCAACAGAAGTTGAACATTAAGATTTGTAATAGAGTTTGATATTAAGATATGTACTGAGAAACCGCCGCCAGCAAGACCAGACGTGGATACTAAAGGTTTCCCAGATAAACACACATAAAACAAGCTTATCGATGCGACAGACGAAGAGCAAATTTGTAGTACTTCACCAGAGTCTTGGATACGGGTCTCAGATAGACAACAAACGTCGATATTAAAACTTTCCGAAGACGTAGTCAACCCTGTCTGTTGTGCGATCTCGTTAATGTACGAACGTTGAACGCAGCCAGTTTGAATGATTTGCGTGATTTCAGAAAGACCGTTTCAGTATTTGTATTGCGGCATTCAATTTTCGACCAGTCAGTGACTCGAGAACGTCTAGATAGAACCGAGTTTCCACCACAGCAAGCTTCTGTATAAGCTAACAAATAAGGATACACGAAGTGAGAAGAGAAGAGAGTAGATAAGTGACGTAACGTATATAGAAAGGAATGTGAAATTGAATGTTATCAAATGAATGTGAGTTGTCTAGACTTTAATTGGAGCAGCGACAGTTTTTTCAGTAATTATTGTCATTTCATTTTTTTTGTGTTTGGGATGTTACACCTCCCGGATGCACAGACCGAAGCAGACAGCTTTCTTAGGGGGCCACTCCGAGTCCTTGATCTAAAGGTCCAATCCACAAGAAGGTGGAGCGACATTGTGAGGTGCAATCCCATGCTAGCCGGTGATCACCAATAAGTTCGTACACCATTCGTTCCTTCAAGACCCTGAAGCCGATGTGCAGCACTGATTTGGAATCAGGGTTTTACAACTCCCCTAAGGTATCGTATATTCACCTTTCGTCTTCTCAAATTCGTAACAACACCCTCGCCGCAAAAGAAAACAGTGGGAAGGACTTCCCTGTTAGTGGCTGTATACGCGTGGTCATGCAAGATCACTTCGAGAGGGAGGATGAACTCTCTCTATCAACTGTACTGCTTCGACGGTTAACCAAATTTCGTAACAGATGCATAGAGTTCGTCCAGCTTTTGCCGATTCACACCTTTTGTGATACGCATATTGTCTCCCTGCTTATTTCACGACATTTTTTATGTAGCTCCGGAACAATCTGTGAATTAGATGATCTGTGTAGGTTGCAATTGTCTGATGGTGTGTTTTAGAAACATTCGTCGAGGACTCAAATCTAAACCTTACGAAGAACGCCTCCGTTCACTAGACCTTTACCCACTAGAATATAGGCGTCTTAGAGGTGATTTATTAATGGCTTATAGTATTCTTAACACTTCTGGACATCCTCTTAAACACTTACTTAAGCTTAGTTCGAATAATAACCTAAGGGGTAACACCCAGAAACTGGAAACACAACATAGCAAGACGGAATGTAGACACAGCTTCTACTCCTTAAGAGTTGTCAAAAGCTGGAACTCGCTGCCGGCCGAGCTAGTCCAAGCGACTTCTCAGGAGTCCTTCAAGAGGCAACTTGACCTATTCTTAAGGACCATGGACAGCATCACACTATGATTTACCAATTTCTTTTCATCTTTTATTGTTAACATACCTAGGTTCCTGCCTGGAGGATTTGGTAATCTCCTGCTACTAGACACGGAAGCCTGTTAAGCGAAAGCTTCTTCTATTCCGTCCACAACCATTTGAACCATTTGAACCATTTAATAACCCGAGGTAGTGCTCAGGGTAGGTGTTCGGTTCAGGTAAAAAGTTGACTAATGTGACTATAGACTTTCACCTATTGAGGCTGTTCAGACATATGCTGTGCAAGCCTGGCCTCTGTCATCTCTGGTCTGTTTTGCTGGCTGACATTGGATTAATTTAGGAGGATATTAGTGGCGCCCAAACTGAGTCTTAGGTTACTAGTGTGAGCGATGTAAATAGAATAGAATTGTAGATTGGAATCCAAAGTATGATCACAATTCATAAACTCAAACGCTAACTAAAACAGCCTTGAATCGGTCGCAATGGAGCAGTTACACTCGTTATTCGTTTTCCAGTGCATATTGAGTCAGATTGCACCGTAGTCGTTATTCCTCGTTTCTTCCGCTTTTTCCAACCATGCCCATATTTAGCTTTACATTATTTTTTATATTGCTTTTTGTACTTTTGTTAATTCTCGATAGGTGCACTTAATCGTAGGGACTTTGGCGGATACATATATGTATACCAAGTATATATATACTTGTCTCAGATCTTACGTTTTGGATGACTGACTGTTAAAGAGTAAAAGGCTTTCATTTGTGATAGCTTCAAGTCATTACAGTCATATGCAGTATATACCATCACCATTAGCATTAATTTTAGATTAAAATGAATTAAAACTAACTTTACTGGCTTAGTTAAAGTCGTTTTTAATCTTGATTTATGTGTAATACGGTACTACCATAGACAGACACCATCAGCATAGAGCCTGGGACATATATATCTTGGCTAAAGTCATACTACATTAGCACGGCGTGATGGGAGTAACTGAGATCGGAATAGTGTAGTAGCAATTATAAAAAGACTACAAAGTGTATTTTCAAATTTTTTTAGGAGCTCATGTCTTTTCATTTGATCACCTGAACATAGCCTGGTTCTGTATTACATATTAGTAGGCTTTAAATTGTCTATTGTTTGCCAAAGGTGTTATTTTCTCTGCCCAAAAAGTAACTAGACGTCTTAAGAGCCACCCATTCAAGTGTTTTATTCTGTCAGAGTTTATCCCATTTTATCACACGACTAGTGAGTATTACTCAGTTATATCGAGCTGCAAACTCTATGCAGTATCAGCGATATATACATACAGATTTTTAAGCAATAAGTCTGCTGCTCATATTTCGAATGACACCTGCCAGTTTTTCAATTTGTGTGCTTAATGAGAAATGTGTACTCTTGTGTAATTTCATCTGTTTTTAGTATCCAGAAGTACTTCATTTTTACTATCACATTTCTATCTCCAAGTTATGTTTAGGTTCAATCGAAATGAAAATGGATTGCCCAACCTACATTGTGTGCAACCATCAAAGGTATTGGTTACAAGATGGTCTTGGCAAGCAGTTCCCATGTGGGCTAACTTCCCTGTGCAACATGACGGTCAAACAATGTATGCTTTCACTCCATTTTAAAAAAAGTGTTCCAATGGTATTTCGATTATAAAAACAGAAAATACTTGTTTACTTAAAGCAAAAGTAAACTAAGTAAACAGAAGCTAAATATAACTACAAATTACACGGCTTATATCAAGATTCCAAGCAACCAAATCAAACTCTCTACTATTATGCCAGTAGTATTTCCGGTGAAAAAGCTTAATCTTTGACATTGGCATCGCAATTGTAAGCTTTCTAAACCATCTAAGCATCAAATATCTCTTCACTGACTGTGGAATACGTAAATGATGTACAAGTATTTCATTTGCTCTATGATATACCATTTACTTTGTCCCAATTAAGTAAAACAGTCTGCTGATGTGTAGATCGTTGTCTATGTAGCAAGGTGCGCAGATCAACGGAAGTGGTGTTAATCCTGTGAATAATTTTAAGTTTTGGCGTTTCCGTTTACCTTTTCATAATAACTGTAATCCACTTTGTTATGGTGATCTAGATCACAATCGTCTCACTTGCGGTACAGAAACTTTTTAATCTTAGAAGATGGCAACATGAGTATTTGCTGTCGTTAAGTCGAAATCATGCCAAAAATACTTAAAGGATACTTTTTTTATTTTCAGAGTAAATTTTATGAAAGATTCTGGAGAAAAAACTTCAGTTTAAACTCCCTTATCATGTTGAAGTAAAATATAACCTAAGACTTTTCATCGTCTTACTAAAAATATATTCGAATATAATCGGGAATCAAGGTATTCCTAAAATAAATACGCTTTAGTGGATACTTGAATTTTGTATTTAGTCATATGAGTAGTGAAAGATGCACTTTCAGCTTAATCCACAAAGCAATTTACATCACAAACTTGAATCACAGATAATACTGAATGATACTCTAGAAATATTTTGTACCATATCGAAGGAAAAGTAAGTGAAACGTTAAAGCACTTTTGCACATCACTACAACTGTACAGTTAGCCAGTCACATGTAACGTAGGACCTGACACAGACGTGCATGTTTCGCTACATTACGTAAATACAGGGTATTCCAGAGTAGTATAAGTAGTAGCAGTATTAGTGATAACAGAAAAGGGGATCAGAGAAATGACTCGATAAAATAGGGATTCATAGAATTGAAAATTTTTTTAAAGACAATTAGGTAATTTAGGATCTAAACGAAAACGGATGGTAAATGTACTAACGCCATTGTGAACAATTACGAGCCATTTAACCCAGTCTCTAACTATTAGTTGCGATAATCGCACGAAACGCACCCAAACCAGGTTGTATGCAGCTACCTACATAGTTCAGATTAACTGTCAATGATTCCGTGGACTGACGACACATTTGGATGCTGCAATTGTACTGTTTAAATCATACGTTTATTTCAACTATGTGGTATCCTTATAACGTCACTAACCATTATTAGAGATATAACCAAAATAGGAAGGTGATACTGATATGTGTCAGGAGTATAAATTTTACTACGGGTTTTTGGAATATCTCCTTTCATTGATATTTTACTTCCGTGTTTAGATACCGACTTTCTTAATTCAGTGTATCAACTAAAACTCATCATTTAAATTACATTCCAGCAGTAATCTCATGGGGAATAAGAGCAAAGTAGAATCACTTACTGTTTGTGATATTACAGATGCTTCGATTTCGAAACAAAATTCTTTCGATGAACCATCCAGTTCCTTTGTTACTCCACATTCAAGTGCTCCTCGATTGTCTACTGTTGTTCAGCCTGAGGATGAAATAAGACTAGTTGAGTTTCTTAAAGTTCATGGATTTCGGTGGTATCAAGTTGTGATATTTCTCATTTCTATAATCAGTTACCTCGCAGACATTGCATCCGATGCATACTTGGTTTATACGTATTATATTCAGGTTAGTATGATGTCATTTTAGTCACGTGATTCACTTTCATAAAAGCGTTTGCATCTCATATTTACACCTTTTCTTCTGACAAGTAATTAAACTATTTTCTATACCTTCTTACTGTTGGAAGTGTCTTTCTTTCTACGAACTAATTCTTTGTTCTTGTACTACGTCCTTGTATGCGATCTTTCTTTTATATATTACCACCACCGAATTAACCACTTCTATAAATCCGGTGTTCATCTTGTTGTGCTAATGAGGTATGGCAACTTGGACCGATTCACATATGTGTTTGGTCTTACGTTGTAGCAGACTGCCCTTCTAAGTATGGCGGACAATAGTCTAGTGGCGTTAACTTGAGGAAATTTCACCTCATATATGGATCGCCAATCTGCTGTCTAGTAGTAGAATCGCGTAGTCGAAATTAGTTGAAAATATTGCTTACCAGAAATACAGTGTTATTTAGATCAGCGTAAAGAAAAATTACGCCTGTGGCTCTTCTAGAGTTACTGCCGGTCCCATGCCCAGGTAAAGTAAGACGGTTGGGCATGGGATTGGCAGCCCCATCCCGTAGAAAAAAATCCTGCCAAAAAACGTCAACCAGATTAAAAAATTAAACCTTTGAAACTCTTCTTTAGGAGTTGAAGGGAGAATTATGATGCCTCAGGATGAAAGCCGAGATTCTTCTGAAGTCACGAGGCCGATACCTCTTCTAACAACCAGAGCAACATTTTTCATAGGTACATGGAACGTCCGGATAATGTGAGGACCAGCCAAATAACGGAAGTGAGGATATACAAATTGGCATTGCTGGAAATCAGCGAAGCCTATTGAACTCAAACTGGACAGCAAAGTCTAGATACGAGAGATGCTGATGTACTTCATACGCGCAGGGAGTTAGTCTGATGCGAAGTAATTTTTTTCTATTACTCGACCATCGTAAGCATTCGGAAATCGATGGTGTGATTAAAAATATCGTAGGAACTTGGAAAATTAGAGTAAAGAAAGTAACTTGTTTGAAGACTCAGTTGAGAATAACTGAACGATACATTTGGCCAAAAACGTCTTATTGTTTCCTATAGATCCGAATGCTTTAAGGTAGTAAATAATCTGGGTGATTAACTTCAATCCTCGCATAACGAAATTGATATAAACACGAAGACGCTTGAAAGCTTTGCATATTCTGGCGTTGCGCACGGTTAGCGGTGATCGTTCGCTACAACTTTAGTTAGTCAACCACTTATTTTTTCTACTAAATAGCAATTCTAACCACGGGAAGGTCTTTTTTTGACAGCCCATACAAACCTGACGTAGATAAGCCTTACTTTCAGTACCCGTGTTTACAGGTCATTCGAAGTGTTGCTTCTTATTTAAGACATTTTTATATGACCAGGTTGATGTATGAGCCCTTTTAGAGTTAAAATATTTCCACTAGGGGGAGTTCAATGTGGTTTTTCAATCGAAAAGGAATTATGTGTGCTAATTATAGTGATTCATGCTAACAAAGGGTCCTTTTTAAACTTTGATACGTATCAACATTTCTTTGGAGAGATAAGTTGTGCTTTCTCGTTGGATTAACGAGATATATGATGTTTCAGTTACAAACAAACGACTTACAGGTTGGTTTGTGGACATTGCTTTCACAGACGTCAGTTGTCAATTTTATTGATTCTATTTCGATGAGTGAACGCGAATTCAATAGTATTTTTAAACTTATCAGAGAAAGTCTGGATATAGATTTTTGATGAACATAAATTTACTAGCTGTTTACCAGATATAGTACTCATATTTATAGCGTTTGGTAGTGTTTCTTTAACTTCTAAATAATGAAGCGCCTTTGTCAGCATCTGAATTATTCATATAAAATAACCTTTTGTTCAAAATTTTATTTACAAGATATTTTCTATAAACGTTCTATCTAATTTTTGTTTTTTATTTATCAATGTAGGAAGATTACTACTGGTCTAGTTTAACAATGATTTTCATGGTTGTTCCCGCTCTCTTGATGTCCAGTTTCAGTCTTGCGTGGTATTTCATTGACTATAAAGTTCGAGTTGATCCTCCGCGCAGCTATCGAGCATGGACGTTTAGACTGTTGTTTCATGGACTCCAGTTGGCCCCACTAGTGAGGTTCGTTTACTTTGAGCCATACTTTCCTTGTTTGTATTTCATTTGATAAAGCGATTGAGTCCATCAGAGACTGACTTTTTAATGATAAGAAATTGGAGTAAATATGCTATGGTTTATTCACTGTATTCAGGTTATTTATTCTCCGAACCGGGGATTCAGTAATGTCAGTTTAGAGTTGTTTGTATTGGAAGTACTTTATTTTTTGTCGTCAGTTTATGATGTGGTCGTTCTAAGTTAGTAATTGTGATGGTTGGCTCTTTCTTGTCTTAGACCTAGCAAGCGAGCTGCTATAACTATCAGTCGTAACTCAAAATCTAAGTAAATGTCAATTCTGGTTCAGTTTTATATTTACTTACCATATGATGTGTAAGATTTACTATGCCAAAAATTTAACGTACTGTGGTTGTGTTGTCATTTGGATTACGGTTTTTATTATTTTTATTCTTGTCATTACTTTATTATCTTCCGTATACTTTCTCGTAATAGTTAAATAACTTTTATCATGGAAATTTGCTCAACTTAAAGATGGTTTTATCACAGACTGAAATAAGTTAAATGACTTTTGAATATCAAGGAATATAGCCTAAGTACTACTTCCTATTTTAGAATTCATTTAGTATATAATCAATGATATTTTGGTCTCCGCAAAACGGTGTAATTTATCCATTAAGTTATATTTCAGTGTTTCATTTATTAGTTTCCCACGAGAGCTGAACTTCTTAAGTTCAAGCCCGTACAGTTTCGCCGTTTTTCAGACTGGCTCAGAATCGATCACAATGGCGTCGGTGTATACACTCCCTGTCTTCTTTTAAACTAAGAGACTAAAATCACTTCATTCTTTCTGTCTACGAACTAATTCTTTCTTCCTATACTATATCCTTATTGCATCCTTTGACCTAACCACTCCTATGAATCCGCTGTTCATCTTGCTGTGCTAATGAGGTATGGCAACCTGGACCGATGCACATATGTGCCTGGTCCTACGTTGTAGCTGACTGACTGACTGACTTCCTGATTTGTATTGGTTCCGTATCTAGTGTCAGTGAGTGAAAAGTTGACCACAAATTAATAGGTTTTCAGAAACTTATTTTTTTGGTTAGGCACCGAAAGTTATTAGGTGACTAGTGATTCTTAGAGACACTGGACAAATCGATGCTAGTTTGTTTAGTGGTTTTTTGTTAGTTCTGCTATGATATAGATAGTTTCTGATGGTATTTGTTTTGTCAAAATATTTGTCATTTCGGTTTAGTTTACACTACTTTTAGCTACTTCCAAATGCACTGATACGAAAATTTCTCTCTTCCTTTCGAAGTATTCTCATATAACCATGCGTCCAAAGCTCCTGTCATAGAAGGCGTACTCACTGCTTTCCTGCGGTGGGGGTGTCGTGTGTGAAAGTGAGGCGATGAAAAGTGAACATCTGGTGCTCCAACCAGCTTGGTAGGTACAGATGGTTCACTTAGGGAAGTTGTAAAATCTTGATTTAAAATCAATGTGTTAGCGGTATATAGATTGGATTAAAATACGTTCCGTGCAGGATTATGCTATGGCACCCTGATGGGCTATTTTTTATCTAATTATCGCTAGTGGATACTTAGAGAAAACTCTAGAATCTTCTGATGTAAAAACTATAGATATCCCAACGTTTCTCTTATTATGATTCCTACTTCAATCCAACCATTTTATTTGGAATATAATTACGTTCCTGTTCCACTGTGTTCTGATTTTGGGACTTGTAGAGTGAAGTAGTGTCCAAGAGTACTTAACAATAGGAGTAGCTGTGTTTGTAATAAGAGAAATTATAAGTGGCGACGAGGAAAAGGAAAGTACTCTCAAGAAGCCAATATCAGATGACCAGCTCAACCGAATACTATAACAACAGCAAACGCAACTTAATGCACAAATGCGATTGTTGGATACTGTGACGCAACAGCTTAATATCCACTGCTCGATTTCACACGCTATTTCAAGTACTACTTATGATGCGGATTGATGAAATCCAGAATCCTAAGAGAACTAAATAGGATCATCGACTGCTACGAGATGGCATCTAACGTTTTTCAACTTCATTGTAGATTAAACATCTTGGTCAGAGGTTCGAGAAGTGGCTCTCTAAGAAAATCACCATCGACTTGTGCACCCATGGAGCATAGCATTTCATGCACTAACGTTCATTCAAAATCGTTTGGTTCTTAAAATTATTGTACACTGCATTATCTTTGTATAGCTTGATCTGTGTCGTAATTATTATCTGTATGAAGAATAGTCTAAAGAGAGTTTGAATCTATTTATTGCCTCGCCTAACTCCTCGTTGCCTTTTGAAGTATAAGTGCCTTTGATGTGTCCTTTGTCTAATAGTTTGATCATACATGTCAATTTATTTGTTAGGTGTTTTTACTATTGTGTCGATGATTTGTTATTTAGGCAGAGTATCAAATTCTTTATTTAGTTTGATAAGGGTGAGTACTAGCACTTGATTTGTGTTTAGGGTACGTTGTATAATGTGTCTAATTGTCTTTGTTTCATGCTTGGTAGCTAAGTGTTTTCTAAAGCCGGATTCGGTAAGTGGAAGCCGGTTATCCGTTAATTGAGATGACCTGTTGCAAACAATACCAGCAAATAGCCTTCCTATTGTATCCAATGAGATGCTACGGTAGTTATTGGTATAGGTCTTTGGTCCTTTATTTCTGTTCATACTAATCACATTTGCATCTAGCCAGTGGTCTGACATAATGTTGTGATTTCTCCAAATTTGTTCGTTAATAGTACATTGTTTAGTTTGTTACCCTCATGTGTGATCATTTTTGTTGTTATGGTATTGTTGCCAGGGCTTGTATATTTTTTCATCTTTTGTAGACTTTGTTCATATTGTCATTGTTGGTGGAGGGGTCTTGGGCTGTGTTTAGCAACAAGTAGATTGATGTTGAGTTAATTATACGACTAACTTAAGGTATTACAGTGATTATCTCCACTTTTTATGCTTGTTTTTTCACTTCTAGGGCAGCTGATGCTATCTACTACGGTATAGCAAGTCGACAACCCGGGTTAAGTCTTCGTGTAGCTGCACAATATACGCAGTTAATGCTTTATGAAGATGCTGATTGTGCTATGCTTCGTTTGATTGAATGTTTCACTGAATCCGCTCCACAACTTCTGTTACAGTTGTACATTATTTTAACGCAACCATATCCTGCACCTAAATTTCAAAGTATGTTTCTGTCCTAGAATAATGAAGCTAATAATATTTTAAATTGATATCATGAATGGATGAATGTTAGGTCACCGTCGAAAACCTGGAAGCACTGGACGGCCGTTTCGTCCTAGTATGGGACTCTTAAAGAGTGCTCATCCACGATCCCGCACGCGAGATTCTAACCCAGGACCTCCATTCACACAGTTACTCACTGAAGACAATGGTGGACGGTCGCGCAATATCGTGTATTGGTTGAATTTAGACATGAACACCGTTGGATTGCCGGCTAAGTGGTCTAGAGGTTATGCGTTCGCCCGCGAGACCCGAAGTCTTTGGTTCGAGTTTCTCGTGCGGAGTCATAGATTCGCACTGTTGAGGAGTCTCATACTAGGACGAAATGGCTGTCTAATGCTTCCATGTTTCTTGTGGTGGTCTAGCATCCATCCATTCATGATATCAATTTAAACTCAACAATCTCCGCAACCCAATATTAATGATATTTCGTAAATTTCTGTGCCATGACCCTGTTTTTGCTTATAAAAAACTATGTAGAATATGTTGCCTTTCAGTCATAATTCATATTTTATAAACACTTGATTTTACTCATTATATCATTTGCTATATCGCTATGTGTAATAATTATAAAGGTGACAATAAATCATTATGGGAATTTATGTTTAAGACTAATGTGTTTTAATTTGCAGTTTAACGGTTGCCATCAGACCATATTTCTTATATTATTTGTGACTATTGCAAAGAACAACAGACACAATTGGACGTGATGGCCGTCCACTGCTTCCAGGTTTTCCATGTTGGTCTAACTTAAATCGTTTCATAGTTCAATGAATAATTGTATTATTCGATAATAGAGTGTTCTTTAGGCTTCGAGAGAATAGTCTTTCATCAGTAGTTATGTGAATTTTTAAAGTCGGATTAAACTACTTCAAATTCCATTTCGCCTTGAAAGTTCCGTTAAACCCATTTTCATAGACTCAAAAATTATCAACACTCGTTTCTTTTATCATGTTTGAGTTACGTTCTACAAACTTCCAAGTGCGTTTCTTGCATTTGTTTATAATGTTTACCGTATCGTATTTCCTTGATTTTTATTTGGAACAATTTCTGGATGAGTCTTAGCCATTAAAAGTAGGAAATATGCGTAAATTGTAAACATTCATCCGTAGGTATCTAAACGATACTGTTTGGCTGTTGCGAAACAGACAAGGGATCGACGTCATTGTCATATTGTGGTGTGCGCTACTTATATACACATAAGTAGTATATAACAGTAGGTGGGAATATAATGTATTTCAGTAGAAGATCGAGAAGGAAAGAACAAGAACGGAAAGCAGTTGGTATGAAAATGCAAAAACAACGAAATCTGAGACGACGGAGTGATATTTGCAAAAGAAACAGTCGAGTTTGAGACAATGGATTGATATTTTTCAAATTAAAGATTTCCTGTATGGTTCTCAGATTTTAGTGAGATATTCTGCAATTTCGTGTTCAAATAAATTCGGTTGTCCTCACCTCTGTTCTCCTTCACTGCACTATGAAGAGGTGACTTATTGGCTGACATTTAAATTTCAAGCACTTGGTCGCTCTTTCGACCCTCGCTCCACTTACTTTAGGCAGCCAGATAGAATTATTAACCTTCATACATAAAGTGTAGCCCAAAGTTGAGTACACAAATCTTTACTTGGTAAATGATTCAACTTAGGTGAATATGGTAAGTACATAAATGTTGAATAAATTATGATTTGATGCATACTGGGTACATCACTTTCGTGACGAATAAAAATTAGTAAAATGTAATCACCTTTATCTAATGAATGTTACAAATCTTTAAAATTGTTATTTATTTATTTAACAGTTTCAGACCGTCGTTTCGATGTTTTTTTTACATTTCTGATAATTTTTTCTTTCTGTTTTGTTGCGGGTTGGCACGACTTGAGAATAGTTATTTTTTAATACGAAGTTTCTCATTGATATCTCTGTTTGTATGTGATGGTATAGTAATTGTTAAAAAGCCCAATGATATGGTTACCGTTTGCAATGAAACAGTTTCACCTATTACTCTTAAGGAACCTCAAGTGGTTTTTTACAACTTTTCCGACCAATTTTCATTTTCGTTTAGTTTGTTTGTTATTTGTTCAGTTTTCTAACATTTGAGATTGTAATTGAGAACACGTTAGTAGTTATCGTTGTTGAACACTCATTTGTTCCTTTAATACATTAGCAAATTTTGCCATTCGTCTATGAAAGAATGTATGTTATTTAAATTTCTGATAAGCCTTCACTAAAAGGCCACTGTTTTTCTGAACCGCCGTGCGAAGAATTATGTGGCTGTGGATTTTACTGGTAAGAATGTTTGACCAACTACTTTTTTTAAAAGGAACTAGGAAGCTACTATTTGTGGGTAACGCGTGAACAGTTAAGTAAGGTTACGGATTGACTTAAGAACTTTTCGTAATTTCTTTTATCTACTATCCTTTATAACTATTTGGTTTTATCAAAGTCTTCTTTATTGTTTTTGAACTTTAATTTATCTTTTCCCCCACGTTTTGACATTTAGTGACTGCACAATTTGTTTCATGTGTGTTTTCATGGCTTTCATTGGCGTGGTCGTTAACCTACTACCAAACTGCTCTACGTAGTTCACGTATTGAAAAAGGAAATATCCAGACCTTAGGTATTATATTCTTCTTTTTCTGGAAGGCTGGAGTGCTAGCATCACGATTACTGGCTCTAGGTATACTTGCCTCTGTTGTCAAGGGATTTTGGTTTGTAGTAGCGCTCGGTATTCATTGGTTGTTGGCTTCTGGTTGGTTAATCACTCGCGGGACGACGTTTTGTTCATCTAATTCACGAGCGTTAGGAGAACTAACCTTTGACTTTGTATTAGGTGCAGTTTATTGTTTTGATGTGGTCAATATTCGTGAAGGACGAAGTCGAATGTGGTATGGATCATGTTACTTAATATTTGGCATTGAAAACTCGGTATGTGCGTCATTATGGTGGGTAACACATTCATTTATTAATGCAAGTCTTCCAAAAAGTGTGTTCAAAAATCAACCATCCACGTGGAACACCGTTTTACCTCCATACACTCTTCTTATTATTGTGATATGCAGTTTTTGTATGGGCATAGTAATGATGATCGTTTATTACATTACGTTTCATCCATCGGGAAAGATTGAAGTAGGTTATGAGATTCCGTTTTGAATTATTATTGCTTGTTTTATTAATTAACCTCGCTTTATAATATTTTGAAATATATATAAATCTTCTTTGTCTTACGTTATGGTGGTGCGCTTTTTTGCTTCGTATAACGAGAGATTTTATCGATTATTTAAAAAGTAATTTCACGAAATCATACTGACATAATTCAAATTAGTTGCTTTTTTATGAATGTATGTTCGAACGACTGGATATGGATCTTACTGACTAGTGGAGTTTGTTTATTTGTTAATTGACTCCATGTAAGACTGAATAAGTTAAAAATATAGCGTCATTGAGAATATTAAAGAGAGATCAAATGTGAAACAACACTCAAGATCATGGCAATGAAATCGCGAATAAGGTCGTTGGTTCAAATTTCAAGGCACATAAATTCAAGGGGATTAGTCACTGAAGTTCGATTCATATTTCATTTAAATAAGAGAAAAATTGTATGCTGTTTACAACCCATTGAATCGTCGAAAAACATCTGCGGTTTCGAACTACACAATGCTTGCTAAAAAACACGGCATGAAATAATTCTGCTTCAGCTTAATTGATGCTAGAACAAGCACATTAATCAGTAACCAACTATTTTCCAATTTTAGTTGAGACTGAACAAATTTTTTTTACGTGTAATGTTCTAAATTATGGAAGTATACTGATTTTACCAGTGTAGAGAAGTCTGCTCTGAAATATAAAGTTACCAATATTTTTTGTTGGTATAAGAAGGGTTGAAATATGTTCAGAAAATAGAGTACAGTAAAGAAATCAGCAAAGGAACCGCGACCACAAAAAGCCAATTTTCGGTATATGGAATGAGTATATTCAAAAAAAGCATTTTGAAACCGTTCCTAGTCACAATACATTAGCAATTTTTCTTATAATTCAGAATTACGTTGCATGACGAACTAACATCTATACAGATGACTGATGAGTACACAAGTAACTCCAGTGTTATCAATACAATCATGGTGATATTTTGCGCAGACATCAATTTATCGACCGTAGTATGTTTTCAACAACATGGGAAACATGAAGTTTCTTAAAAAGTCACTTACGGCCATGGAAAGATTGTCAGTCAAAGATACTTGAGCTACTGTTTAAATAATATACAATGGCTTTTTATAGTTTCTAGCCAATCAAAAGACCAATGAGTGAATGACTTATAGTACATTAATAATTGAAAATAAAAAATATTTCTGTTTCTCCATAAACAATGAAATTGCCCAGGTTATTATTTCGGTTTCGTAATTTGAAGTCGCAGTATATTTTATAACGAAATTCATATATATGACGCCTGAGGATCTTCCTTTTAAAACCCTATCCAGTCATAGATAATCTTTCGAAATCCGCTATACAGCTTCAGTTGTTTCTGCTGTACGGTTGACAAAAGACCTATGTGCACAATATCTGCATTGTATCGATGCCTACAAAGGCCCTCGTATATTTGCATGTTAACAGAATGTCGTCGTACGAAAAAGGATAATCCTGCCAACAAATCCTTCTATTTGCGCTTCTCTACTTTAAAAAAATATCGTTACTACTTGTGCATTGAAAATGATCATTACAGAGCACACGTTTTACTACGCGAGCTTTTTCACGGTCATCATTTTGGTTAATCTATTTCTCCAGCTTTAAGCCTGATTTTTAAGCTGAAATATTTGTCAGTGTTATTATCCATCTTGTAATTCTTACATTTACTATTACTATCAATACGTACACATTAATTAATATGATTACTTACGCAATCTACCGTATTGTTACCATTATCTCACAATTTGCCTTAATTGGTCTAACATTCTTTACATATTTATGTAAACATTACTGTACATTAAACGAAAGGTTGGTGAAGATTGAAAGCACTATTATCTGCTTATATGTCGTGTTCTCATTTGCATGAATCGGTTTTTAATCCTGTCTATGACTTTATTAGATAGCAGCTCGCATTAAAAGACGTTTCAAAATATGTCCAGTAGATTAGCTTTTATAAAGCTGCACTACATTGTGCAATGTTCTAAAAAATCGTATAACAATTATTCACAGGTTAGTCGATTACATTCAACTGGGTTATTAAATGATTCAAATGCCTGTGTAATGTTACCGAAAACTAGTTAAAAAAAGAACTGTACAGAAAATAATCAATTATACTGATTTTCATTTCTAGTTATGCATTCCGTGTGATGAATTGATAATAACTTCAGGACTGCAAGATTCATTAACCGTCGATCCAAATATTCAACTGTCAGAGAAAACTATCCAGTTATCAGTGTAAGTTGAATCAGTAGAAATAAAATTCCAACATTTAAAATTTGTTTTTGCTGTCAAACTAAGATTTTTCAAATCGGAGTTTATCTGACCGTATATTCAGCACACAGAAAAATTAGTCCCATCCCTTCCAGATTGCTATACTGGGGGAGAATAAAAAATATGTACTCAAGATAATTTGCTTATTTATTTTATATGTAACCCATAGAATTTTCTTCAGTTAACATATGCTGGGAGATACCGAAGAAATGGCGTTAATATACGATCTAAAAACGTAGCTGCACAGAAGGAATAAGTTTATACACCATTTCATCTTTCACGATTATTCAGAATGACCTGATCATCCGATTCTATTTATAATGCACCATATTCCTGCTGGTCTACGCCGTTTTTCTGGTATGATATTCTTGTCATCACTATTCACTGTGGCTTCAATGAATGTAAGCGTATTTAGATACAAACACAAAATCTTGAGGAAATTCACTTTCTTTAAAATAAACAACGATCTTGCTATTTTTTAATTGCTTTACGAAAATTCATTAGGAAATCATAAAACGGACAGTTTAACAATTTGCAAGAACCATTAACATTCATCTCAACACACAACAATCACTTCCGTCTGCTGGCGAAAAAATGAAGTCAAAGAATTAAAACAGGCTTGATGCCATCAATAGATTGGCAACGAAAATTTTTATATAATAGAAATATTAGTTTGTATGTATAACAAAACAGTTGTTCATCAATTCGAGTTTTTTTTAAAAATGAAAATCAATAAAGTATGTCAGAATAAGTGTAGTGCTTCCTAATTTGTTGAGGAACCCCCTAACCTAGTGTTCCATTGGCAGTTGGTTACTATAGATGATATTATTTCCAACTACTGGGATTAGTTGTACTTGCAAGTAAAAAGGTGTAGATAGACAGGCTTAGCCGCCATACGACATTTAAATGTGATTTCTGGTCCTTCAATAGCAAAAATATTTTATCTATAAAACCCACTTAACAGTTTATCAGATTACTTATGAGATGTTCATCAGTCACAGACGTAATTTCAAGCAAGCTGGTAGGAAGTCGTTTACTCACCAACTACTAAATAGCAGCGCACTTTTAATCTGTATAACTTAGATCCATACAACTGAGACAAACAATGGGTAAATATGATAACGCGTTTATATCGAAATATTTCTCGTTGATGAGACTGAATGAACCAACTGTCCACATAGTATTAAACTCATGAACAAACGCAAATTCAAATGTTGAAACTTGCAACAGCTTCTACATTAAATACGTAACGTTGTCTGGAAAGACGACAAAAACTCTAACAATAAATCTGATAAGTCTACCAATTGATTCGATTCCCTAGCCGCCTTTAGTGATTTCAGATTAAATCTAAGTGACAATACAAGAGAAAAGACGCGAAGTAGGAAAATGCTTTACTCAAATTCCAGGTATGTACAGGAAATCGTGTGCATTTATGCCACTTGGCACAACCTTGTCCAGAAAATTCTAGAAGCACAGTAGCTATATTAGTAGAAAAGTAAATACTGTCGAAAAAGAGACGTGGTCTGTCATCGTTCTAGAAGCCTCGAAGAGACTTCTATCCATTGAGCCATGGTATATAAGGTCGGGACCCAGGCGTTCATTAAGAATAATTAATATTTGGGAAACATGCAACTCAATATACATCTAGAAACCAAAGAATCATACTGAAACTGCGATTAGACGGCTGGTACTGATTGATTTAGCATCAGAATATAGTCCAACGAGGTTCTTCCGGTTATATAACAGAACTCGTCCGGATTTACTGAGGTCTGTTTAACGACTTCGTTTCATGGTAGATATCAGGTGTGCAAACATCAGATATTTAATCATACATGATTAGCCATAAAAGGTTTGACGAGGAAATTCCGGTGGTTATTTCTCTAGAAATAGTTAAGAAAATGGATATGCTCAATGAATAAACAATGCCTTATCGCGTTCAATGACAAGGAAACAATTATATGACTGGTGTCGTCAATAAGTTTACAACCAACTACAATGAATATTACAACCCTGATCTTAAATTATGATTAAGATAGAGAAATAAGTCTAGCATAAGAATCTTTGTAAGCATGTAGTAGTGATCTCGACATAATTTGCCTGAAAGTTTATGATAGCAAGACTATCATATATGCAGATTGTGTCTGCTCGCATCGTTACTATATAAAGATAAATACGAAGCACCATAGGAAGTTTGGTAAGATGCATTTTTCCTAAATAAATGGTATTTTAACTGAGCTCCTTGTCCGTGATCTCAATGGTTCACAAAAAATAATTATATTTTTGTTATATCCCAATGAGTTTACCTTATCTATGTATATATAAAGTTTGTTGCAGAAATTCAAAGTGGGATGTTGAGAAATCTATGATTACCACGGTATTTGATCTCGTACCAACCAGCATCATAACTTTTTTAGCCATTCAAACCACGAATGACCTACATGTTTGAAGTATTTATACAATGAAGAAGAGTATTATAAAACAATTAAATGCTATAGATATAAGATTGTAAACAATAAAATGTATGACCAGTGCGTAGATGAATATAGTAAAATGAAATATTACGATATTATAACATGTACTAGAGTTCAGAAAAAATCTGGAAAAGAGTACTACGTAAAAATAATTGGAACAGAGAACGGTCAATAAATTTTTACTTGGAACTCTAGTAAATTTACCAATCAAGTACGAAACTAAATAATTATACACAAATTAGAAAACAAACGTGAAAAAATTCAGGGCTGAAGGTTGGAATATTACATTTTCAAGGGAAGATTCAAGTGACGGTATAGCTATTTTCAGCCAAGCTTAACATTCAATAGATGATCAATATAACTTCTACACAAACTTGATGATTTATGGATTCTCAAGAAAGCTGCAGTTAATGTGACATCTAGAGGATTATATGTAGATGGAGTTTAGTAAACTTGGCTTCATCTGTGAATGTGGGTGAAGACTATTTATATTAATTGAGTTACAAAACCAGGTATACAAGCAAAGGAGATTCTGAGAGTTAATTGATTCAAATAACGCCATTGCAGTAACTCAATGATCTGAACCCATTTACATTAAATTGCGATAAATAAACAATGCTTATCACAATACACACTTATAGTTATGTAGTCCGTTACATATATTACGAGATCGATAATTTATGGATCTTCAATAATTTTAAAATCAATGAAACTTGTTGTTTCAGTACATTTGTGACAACAGCTAGTAAGTTTTAACATAAACCAGGTACAAATGAGTATTGCATCAGTATGACTTAGATCAAAAGCTAGCGACTTCATGAACTAATACTATGGTTTGGCCGCTTCTACCTTTTCTCTAATCTTTTACTGCGTTACCAAACATTGGTCATTGAGGTACCCGGACGGTTAGGCTCACATAATACATAATAGAAAAAGTATATTTGTCCTAATGAGAAGAAAATTAGATTTTTGACGTTTCGAGACCTAGTGTGAGCCACTTTAGAGAAAAAAATAAACAAGTTCTTTACAAGTATGTCCTCATGGTTCGTTTATACATATGCGGTTCTAATCCACAATATGGGAAATCTCAATATTTTAAAGTAAACTAACACAATTTTAAATAGTACAAAGTACATAATGGAGAATGTTTTCTTAGTTTGGTCAAAATTAAAATAGGTCGGATCACGTTCATACTGTCACTTCAGTCAAGTCGTTTTTATTCTGTAGGTGACCTAGGTGTGAATTTGTTAGTTGTAATGTAGAAGAAAGGTTAGGAACATTTGTATGTTTGTTACTGGTGTGAAGTTTAAACATAAATGTGTGGATTTATTTGAACAAATGATCTACGCTAAATGGATTGTTTGGCCTTCTAGTTGGAAAATTATTAAATTATAAGATGCTGATAACATTTTTGTTTTTCTTTAATTAACGTAATCTTTGACACCCGTCTAAAACAGTCTAGAACCAAAGAGATTTTTGGATGGAGTGGGAGCTTTCTAAATTGATAAATATATTCCCAGTTCATACGAAAATTATTTTCAAAAGTGAACCCAGTGAACTACCAGCTTTAGACTGTTCAGATTAAAGGAATTGAAATGGAAAACCAGATCTTATGATGAGAATATAATTTATAGATGACATTTGAGCGATGCTAAAGCGACCTTGGGAATACCCACCTAATTGCTAAGGTTAGAAGATGGTTATAAATTCGTGAGAGGAATTAGGGTTTCGAGTTAGCTAGTTAGGGTTTTCACCACGAAATGGCATACAACATAATGTGAAAATTCTATCTAACCATATGGACAAATACATCTCGCGTAAAAAGCTAACATGTACTATATTTAATTTCATAGGCTGGTCCATAGATTATAGTCTTGCCCATCTGTAATTTAGCCGTAAGCTTAGAAATTTAAATCGATATAATTATTTCAACTTGCCACATACACTCGATGCAAAACTCTTTTCGGAGTACTTAATCAATGTCACAGATTTCAACTAACTGAAATTCAGTGAAGAAACCGTCTTAGTTGCAAAGTTGCAGGTATGTTTAAGATCTAATTATTTACTTCGGAAAACTAAATACTGTAAGAGAAAAAATGTTCAGGTATGTCAAAACGGTAAGAAATTATGTACAGAAATAGACATATCTATACTTTTCATATACAGAAGTTAAAATCATTTGAGAGATGGTTATTTGGCTGTTGTGACTTTTAGCTCGGCAAAACTATCACTTAGCTTATTTGCCAATCGGAACACGACTTATACAATCTCAGCACTGTGCCACTCCAATGACGTATCGACCGGTATGTACAACTTAGCGTCCTTATTGATCTTTTTCCGCTTAGTCCTGCCAGTTCAGTCCAGAACACCAATACCAGCTCCCATGATACGAATCATTTATTTCAAACATACTTGGTTTATAAACGAGCCAAACAGAAAACAACACACCACAAAATCAGACCAAAAAGTGGCTGTGATTGTGGGAGATGGTAACTAATAAACTGGGCATAACTTAAGAACAGTTAAGCGTATCATTATAGTTTATAGGTCAAAATGAAGCTTATAATAAGAGGAATATAAATATACATAATCTAGCTACCAAACAGTTATACAATCAGTATATATATATATAATATTAGTCCACTAATTGTTCTCAGAAGTTACTAATAAATAAAACTTCACTAGGAAATAACAGTGGTTATAGCGACTGACTAACATCAATATCTCATTTGATAATATAGATTTTTCTAAGTCATTGGTGTCACAGATGATATATCGTATTGAATATTTCAGCAGATAATTAACATACCTCTTTGTGGATGCCAAACTTTCAATTAAATAATTTTATATTGGTTAACCTGAAATAAAAAATTACCATAAATATGTTACTAAAATTTAAAAACAAGTATCAACAATAATTTTCAAGAAAAATACAACAGGATCCAAAAAGAAGGAGGCACTATTCTAATCAGTCACTGAATCCTAGTTTGATTAATTATGCTATAATATGTTATTTATATCAGCGTCATAGAGGAATGACTTTTTAATTACTAAAATGAAGAGAAGTAACATTCATTGATTGATAATATACAATGATATGATGTCTCCTAGTGATGGCTAGTCACGAGATCTAATTACTAGTTGAAGCCTCTGAGTGATTTTAAATCAAATAAACCCTTGACCAGATGACTGATTTTTCGTGTAATAGAATAGCATGCTTATATTATTACCAAAAAGTAACCATGAAGAAGCGTTATACAGGATTAGAGGAAATT